CAATACAAGTTAAATAAGCTTTGTCACCTATTGGTATGAAGATTTATTTTCTTCCTCTGAATCACTCTAGATATCATATAATGAATCACTCCACATGTAATGTGGATATGAATCACTTCCAGTGTGGTACTTAACTTCCAGGAGAGTCATATTTGTCATTGTGGATGTCATACAAAGATATTTACTGAAAACAATATAGATAATGTGATTTTTAACACATAAAGGATATGTTTATTTTATTTTTCTGTTTATTGTTGTCGCCTTTGTGCCCCTTCTGTTAGTTGTTTGTGGGGGAGGGGGGAGTTAGAAGTAACTTGATGATAGGATATTGGAAAAGTGAACTCCTGAGAGCAGGGAATAAGATTTGTGCTTAGAACAGCAATAGATACATAGTAGGTATCAAGAAACATTAGTTAAATGAAAGTCAGTAAATTAAAAAAAAATTAGAAAATAAATAAATAAAATCTAATATGACTTCCATAGGAGCTCTGCAGGTAAAAGAGGTAGACAATGATAGTGAACACTTTTAGTTATCAGGTGTCAATTTCAAGCAATTCGAACTGCATGAAACGGAGTTTAAAATGTTTTTGGATTTATTAGCCTATTTTATGTAACAGTGATCAATTCTAATATTGAATTAGAAGTTTGGTTTGGTACAAAGAGTCATTTTCAAAGAATAGAGGCTTGCATGTATTGTGAAGCAAAATACTTCAGCAGAAGTCCAGATGATTTGGTAAAAGAAAAGCATTTTAGATTTGTTTCTCTAATTCACTCTAACTTCTCTCTCTCTGCTCAGACATCTGCATTCCCTACCCCATTCTTTATTTACAAGTGAAAGTTACACAGGGTTCCAGCATGTCTACTGAGGTGCAAAAGTCAGTTTGTAACCTTACCTGGCTAGTGTTCAGTTGACACAATGCCGAAGGCCTCTCACCTGAGACAGGGGAACAGAAAGGGGTACTGTCAACACTGTTCCTTCTTATGCCTTGGTGAAATTCCCAAACCTGCTCTTGCTTTCCCTGTCCCTCACTATTACTTGGGAATAGGATGGCCAACAGCCTCCTTCGCCATGGACCATCCCAGGGACTGCTCCAGTTTTAGCGCTGAAAGTCCTGTCTCTGTGGATACCCCTCAGTCTGGGGCAAATCTGGACAGTTGGTTGCCTCCATAATTAATGACCTTCCCCTAATTTTTGCTAGGTAAAAGAGATTTGATTAATTATTTGTCTCTGCAAGGTGAGGCCACTTCCCTGCTTCATAATAGATCTTCCATGAGCAGATTTCCAGAAATGGGCTCAATTAATTATCCAGACAAACAAATAAACAAAAGAATGTAATGTGCTTTAGTGTGTCAATCAGCTCAGCTGGTCTTGTAGTCAGGACAGAAGAACTGAGTAGGAAGACACCAGGAGGGCCTGGGAATTTTGAGGAAGAACAAGTTTTAAGTTCAAGATATTTTGCTTTAGTTTAGGGTCTGAGAAGATGAGCAGGCAATGAATCAAGAAGCCAAGGGAGGTGGGAATGCAAACTGGTGCACCCACGTGGGAAAACAGTATGGAGGTTCCTCAAAAAGTTAAAAATAGAACTATCCTACAACCCAGCAATTGCACTACTAGGTATTTACCCAAAGGATACAAAAATACTGATTCGAAGGGGCACATGCATCCCGATGTTTATAGCAGCATTATCAAAAGTAGCCAAATTGTGGAATGGGGCCCAAATGTCTATTGACTGATGAATGGATAAAGAAGATGTGGTGTGTGTGTGTGTGTGTGTGTGTGTATGGAATATATATGGAATGGAATATTACTCAGCCATCAAAAAGAATGAAATCTTGCCATTTGCAAGGACATGGATGGAACAAGGGTATATTATACTAAGAGAAATAAGTCAGTCAGAGAAAGACAAATACCATATGATTTCACTCATATTTGGAATTTAGGAAACAAAACAGATTAATATAGGGGAAGGGGGAGAGAAAAAAGAGAGTGAGGCAAACCATAAGAGACTCTTAACTACAGAGAACAAACTGGGGGTTGATGGAGGGAGGTGGGTGGGGGACGGGCTAAATGCAGTGGGCATTAAGGAGGGCACTTGTTGTGATGAGCACTGGGTGTTATATGTAAGTGATGAATCACTAAATTCTACTCCTGAAACCTATATTACACTATATGTTAATTAACTAGAATTTAAATAAATACTTGAAACAACAACAACAAAAAGAAGCTAGGAGAAAAGAAAGCCAATAAATGTGAAATTAGAATACTTCATCATGAGGCTAGAGTACGTGGTGAGCCTCTTCATGAGCTTCTTCATCTTCTGTCCCCCTTTTAAACTAGTTACTACTTTCTGACAGATTTCCCCCAGATTTTATTCAGTCATGTACTGATATGGTATTAATTGCTAAGGTATATTGTATCCTTGATTTGTCTTGATTAAAAGTAAAGTTGAAAATGGAGACCAGTTTTAACCAACACTAAATAATAAAAACCTTGACAAGAAACTTTAACAGGCTGCTGATACAAGTTTGCTGAAGATGTCAGCCTGTTTCAGCTTCGTTGTGGGAAGGCAAAGTGATTAGTGTGTCCACAGTGGGGCCCAAATGTGAAAGAAGAGGAGGTATAGCACATCCCCGGAGAACCAATGGCTACAGAGGAATCAAAATTTTGGAACCTCAAGAAAAGATGAAGCCAAAGAGGACAGATTCAGGATGCTTTGAATATATTCATCCCTTTCCTTAGACTTTCTTCTAGAGCTCAATTATTTGAAATTTCTAACAAAAGTATGTTATCTTCCATTCTGTCAGCCAACCACTTGTCCTATCAGTACCCTCTCTACCCCATCAGGTAAGAAGCGGATGGTACTGGAATTTCCATCACCAAGTGGCAGATATTTCCAAACTGGGGGTCTGAGTTTATTAAAGCTTTCATCCATTCATATCCCTCAGTTTAGCTGCTATAGGGGTGATGGTCCAAGGTACCATTTTATTGTGCCCCGATATTATAATAGCCTCCTGACTGGTCTCCTTGCTTTCATTCTTGCTGCTTCCAAATCCATTGTGTCATATCAGCTAGAATGATCTTTGAAAAGCAGAGATCATAATACTTTATCCTCTATCCCACTGCATGGGTTAAAACCCTCTAATGGACTCCCATCGCACTTAATATAAAATATCCGAATTGTTTGTCACAGTCTACAAAGCACCACATAATCTGGCCCCTGCCTGCCTTTCTTACTTCATCTTACCCACAAAGTTCTAGTCATTCTGCTTTTCTTTCCTTTTTCTTAAACGTGCTAAGCCAATCCCTATGGTGAACTGCAAAAGCTAGGAACGTTTCGTCTTTTGGTTCTTGGAATAGCTGGTTGCCTTTTGTTAGTCACCTAGTCAGTCATTCTCTATCATATTACCATATTTTAACTCTCTGCAAACCACCTGCTAATATGGATATTTACTTATTTATCTTGGTCTGGTTTTCCTCCTCAACCAGACTGCAAGCTTCATGAAAGCCGGGGCTTGTCATCTTGTTCTGAACAGTGCCTAATAGATAATTGGTACTCAGTAAATCTTTGTTAAAGTGACTGGTTTCTATTCCCAAAGAGCTTACAAATTTGGTTGTACACGGAAGATAATGTAAATGAAAAGTTCAATACACATGACAACAAACAGTAGAGATGCTAAAAGGCAATATGTGATTCAGCACTATATGAACTTTTTCTCATAAAGCATCGACTTAGATAAAATATAAAGGAGGAGGGGACACCTCATATTCCCGTCAGTGAGACTGCAAGTTCTGAAAGCCAGTTTCAACAGGGGGAAGGCCGAAGTCACAGGTGGAGGTGATGGGCAGGAGAGAGGCAGAACGCACGCAGAATGAGTAAGCGGAGAATGTGAATGAACTCAAACTCCAGCTCCAGCACAAGTTTGGCAAGGACGGCCTAGCTTGTTGCAAGATGAAATTTTTAATTATCTGGAATTTGGGGTAGATGACAGTTGGATGGAATATTTTGAGGAACAACTTTCCAGTCCTAAAGAGTTCTGCCAAGGGCCTGGACTCCACCCTCCCCCTCCCCCGCCCCGCTTGGGCTCTGTGAGACGAAGCTTCAGAGTAGGTTTAAACGAAGAGGAAGTCGCCTTACTTAGGTAGCCCCGAGGCAAGTACAGCGGCGCGAGCGCCGCGGCCGTGGGGGTGGGGCGGAGTGGGGAGGCCACCGCGTCCCTGGGAATCCTAGTCCCGGTCCCAGCCACAGAGTGCCTTTGCACACCGCGGCTGAAATAGGCCGGGCCTGCAGGCTACACGGGTCTGTTTAGTTTTAGGGGACATTTGTTGTTCTGAACTCCTTTTCCCCTTCAGAAATCTGGCAAGCGTTAGTCTTGCTCCACTCCGCACGAACCCACAAGTGTGCGTGTGCGGCTTCAGCTCAGGCCCCGCCCTCAGACGCACACTGACACACACAGAGACCCGGCCAGATCTTGCTCTTGGCCTTGATTGAAGCGGCTTCTCTGGAGCCGCTCACCCCAGGGCCCGCTCAGCCTCCACCCTAAAGGGGACCGCCCGGCTGCACTGCGCCAGAGCGGAGCCCCAGGAAGAAAGTTTGGAGCGCCGAGGCGAGTTGTGGGCCGCGGGATAAGGGAACCGGCGGACGGGGATCTTCGCTCCAAGTTTGTGCGGCCGTCCTCGCGTCCCGGGGGCGCCTGCCCCGCCGCGCACTGCAGCCGCGGGACTTCAGCGCCCCGGGCGGAATGGGACTGCCGCTCGGGTTCCGCGGCCGGTGCTAGAGGCTCGGCCAGAAGCCGAGGGGGAACTTCTCTGGAGCGCTGTCGCCGTGGGCCCTCCTTGTCTGCAGGAACTCTCCGGAATCCGGAGGGGGAGGACTGGATCGCTCTTCCACTGGGATTCGTCAAGAGTTCCGGCGGCAGCTGCGGCGGTTGCGGTGTCTCCCTTTGTCCTCCTAGGACCTCCCTCCCTTCCTTTTTCCCTCCCTCTGTCGGTTAGTGGGTCCTGCTGCCCCGGGCGCCGGCCCCCCTCATCAGCTCGCTGTCCCCTACCCCGGGGTGCGTCCCTGGTAACTCCTACCACTTTAGCGTCCCCGCCGAGTCGAGCCGAGGGGGCTGCGAGCAGGAGGCAGCCGCAGGCCCCTGGCCGCAGGATGGTGGCGGGGCTCTCTCGGGCCCGCAGTCCCGGGAGCTGGCTGGTCCCCGGGCTGTGGCTGCTGGTGCTCAGCGGTCCTGGGGGGCCGGTGAGCGCCCAGGAGCAGCCCTCCTGCAGAGGAGCCTTTGATCTCTACTTCGTCCTGGACAAGTGAGTGCCGGAGGGAGGTCCAGGGTCTTCTGGTGGGTGGCATTGGATGAGCCGTGGCTGGGGAGACGGAGATGCGTGTGCGCCCTGGGGAGGGGTGCTAGAAAGCCGGCGACGGGTGCTTTGTGCTATGCCCGTCCGAAGGGCAAGCGCTTTCTTATCTGTGCTGGCTGGGTGGTGATCGGAGGAGCCCCGAGCTGCTGGGCTCTCTGGGAGGTGGGGTGGTCACTGTTTGCCAGTCCTGGGGCCTCTTGGGAAATGGGAGAGTGTCTGTTTGGAGTAGCTGTCTGCATCCCTGTTTCTCGGCCCCCTCTGGCTTCGCCCCCTCAACTGGCTAAAGTTTGCCGGGTCTGGTCCAGATCACAGCGCTTTCGTTGTAGCCAGGAAAACCCCAGGGTCAAAGTACTCAAGGTGGTTTGCATTTCCTGTGAAGGAGGGTTGTGTTTATTTTGAAGAGGCGGGATCCTAAATTGGGCAGGTGGTCCCTGAAGATGGGTTGGCTTCCCTGATTCTTTTAGCGCCTAAGTTTCAGCTGCCCATACTATTACTTTGCTTGAAGTAGAGGCCGGGTTACCCCCCACGTAAATGTTTTGTTTTTGGTTTGTTTCTCATCAGTTCAATTTCATTTTACAGGTCTGGGAGTGTGGCAAATAATTGGATTGAAATTTACAATTTTGTCCAGCAACTTACCGAGAGATTTGTGAGGTATTTCTCCTACTTTACTTTTCCAGGCAGGGGAGTTTGAGGTGGAGGGAAGTAGACTGAAGTGTAAGATATTCCTTTTTTGAAACCTTTCGCAGGGAAAGCCTCTCATGAAATGTTGATTTTTAAGTGCCTCAAGACCATTATTACACACATGTACTTATTAGGACAGCCCTTCAGTTGTTCAGGGCTTATTTCATCTGGATCCCAGAAACTTGGCTCAGGCCCTTGGGAAGCATCTTCAAATACTATTACAAATGTCTTTTCCTTTCTGATTTTTCATCTGTTTTGAATTTTAGTTGCGCTTTCTCATAATTTATCACATAAAACAAATTTTATGCTAATAGTATCCATAATGTATTTTTCTTTCCACACAATTCTTAGCATTGTAGAGGTCCTCATTTAAAAAAAAAAAAAAGTGTTGGTAAACTTCCAATGAACATGTGTTAATAACCCACTACCAGAAAAGGCACTTGTGTGTGTTTAAAGAGACGACTTGTGTTTACCCAATGTGTGGGTGTGTGGCTGGTTTAAAATTTAACTGTTCTATATATGCAATAAGCCTTACTAGGAAAGACTGGTTTTTTCTCCTATAAAAAGCATAACTGCTGTGAAATCCAGCTTACTCTCTTATTTAGAGGTAACTAGGAATTAGTGGCATCTCTATTTAAAAATAACCCCAGAACACCAGGCTTTTGAGCCTTTTTTTTTTTTTTTCTTCTTCTTCTTCTTCTTCTTTTTTTTTTTTTTAAAAGAAAAAAATGCAGTGAGCAAATGCAAGTTTATCAAGATAATGGAAAGGACACAAAAAGGAGCTGTATCATTAAATATTGCTTCTTTCAGTCTTGTTAGCCCAAATGTTTTCTGTAAAACAGGCTTGGATGATCAAAACATTTTGAAAGTCATATTGCAAGTAACTTCAAACAATCTGTAGAGGCCTAGGCAATCCTTGCTTTCAGTTATTGGCAGCAGTAAACTTATCCCTATAAAAATGTATGCTTGTCCATGTTCAATCATCAGTCTCCTGCTTAAGAAGCCAAGTATAACACTCTCATTTCTGGACAAGGTCTGAAGTAAAACTGTCTAGGAAAGAAAAATAAATAAGGCCCTCTATCTTTAAATGTTAAATGCAGTAGGGACAGTTGTTTATAAATTTTCTGATTTAATCTGAGAGTGTGCAGAGAGCATCACATAGATTTTGATCGAAAGTAGTAGATCATTTCAATACACCATTTTGAAGAAGTGGGGCTTTTATTGATTTGGTCTGGTTTGCAAGTTGGAATTCTATGATAACACAGTTCTCTGGCTCAAATTTAGTTGCTTAGTTACTAACTCATAATACATTGTAGAAAGCGAATAAAGGCTGACTACTGGAGAGAATATCTTCAAATATGGATAAACCTTTGAGATCATTCTGATCTTCAGTTTATAGATCTTAGTTTCCTGTTTTCAGTTTCAGATCTTAGTCGTAGTTGTGTAGAGTGTCTTGGAGACAAGAACCATTCTGTGAGATAAATGCCTAAGGCTCAAAAGATGTAGCCGACTGGGGCAGGTGTTGCCAGTGGGAAGTATGATGTTTGAGATTAGGACAATTGGAAATGTCTAATCAAAACAGATTTGTTAGTCTCTTTCACATTGTCCATGATACTCTTACTTCCAGATCACTTTTGTCTCTTAATTGTGGTAATTAAATCAAACTGACTGCTCTCCAGCCCAAAATATTGCTAATGACAATTGCTCAGAAGGGTCTGGCCTCCTTTAAGGAGATGAGGTAGAACAGGGGAAATAGGTAAAGGGAGAAGTATTTTCTACGAAAGGATTTTACATTGGCCTAGAATTCATCTTTCTAGGTAGTCTCTTCCCTAAGTGGCCTTGTGGGTCATGGAGGATTGAGTGCTGAGAAGCACTGACTAAATCCAAGATGGCTTATGCAGTAATGTTGAGCAGAGTTAGTGTATCTGTTTAGGGAGTTCCATTTAAAAGAAGCCTGGACCATCAGAGTCTGATTTTAACTGAGACTCCATAGCTATGTATCTGTATTGTATCAATATTTCTTTTAAAAATGTTTAACTGCCTCTTTTCTTATATTGCAGCCCTCAAATGAGATTATCTTTCATTGTGTTTTCTACTCAAGCAACCATTATTTTGCCATTAACTGGAGACAGGTTAGTGCATTATCATTTCACTGTAGGCTTTTAGTAGAGACTAATCTTAAAGGAATGATTGATATTTCCAAGTGGTGATTCAGGCCTCCCAGTGGAATCAGGCAAATGCAGACAGTTTAGCTCTGTTCACTAATAGAGGAGAAAGGAGGTATGAGTAATATAAAAGAGCAGATAATCTGAAAATCGATATCATTCTTGTTGGTTCTGGAATGTACAATGAAACCCAGATCTCTGCCTTAGTTTTCATTTTAGTAAGGGAGGCTGGTGTACTTTGTTTTGCATAATATGTGGATTTCTGCAAAGTTATACTTGAATATAGCTTTTTTTAAATAAATTATTTTTTTCTTTAAAAATGTCGAGAAAATATAATATTTATTTATGTATTTTGTTTGTTTCAACTTTTTATTTAAACTCTGGTTAAAGAAACATAATATTTAAAGGGACTCAGGGAGAGAACTTATTTATACTTTGCAGTATAAACTTCTAATTTATTTGTGCTTTAAGTTTACTTTTTTCTGGAGAGGAAATACCTCTGTAGATGAGGAGTCCAGCTTATGACCTCCGTCTTCTCATTGATACTTTCCTTCCATACTTTCTTGTGTGCATCTGGGTGTCATCAAGAGTCAGAGCAATAGTAGTCCCTTGTAACCCACATACAATAGCTTTGCTTCCATGAAAAGAAATTTTGTCCATTGCCCAGCTTAATTTTCAAAGATCCAGATAGATCTCCTAATGGAGTCTATTCGTTAGAAGAAAGAAAGAACAGTGTTAACATTTATAGAGTGCTTATGTAGGGAAAAGCACTTAGCATGACACCAGACACAGAGTAGACTCTCAGTAATTGTCACCTGCGTATGCTGTGCCAGGTTCTCAGTTAGGCACTTTGAAGATGAAGTGTAGTGATTGGTCAACAAAACTGGTATTGTTTAGAAATGCACGGAAAGGGTTTAAAATGTTAATCTAAATTAGAGATTCTTCCTTTATCGTTGGTTAAATCTAAAAGAGGAGAGGACTGGGATAAAGAGGCTTCTATTTGAAGAGGTAGCATAAACATAAGCATGTTGCAGTTAAGAGTCACTGAACCAATTTACTAGCCAAATGGTCATGGACAAGATACTTAACCTCTTTATGCCTCAGTTTTGTCCATTTCTGTAATGATGACAATGATGATGGTGATAACAGTATCTGCCTCATAAGGTTGTTGTGAGAATGAAGTCAGTGAATGTGGAGAATGCAGGACAGAGTCTGGTGCGTATGTATTCAAGAGATGAAAGCTCTGTCATCGCTATTATTTGTTACTACTACTATTATTATTATTTGGAGCTAGGGAATATGTAGTATTTTAATGATTAGTGAGGAATGATGCTTACAAATAGGGATAATTGTCCTGCTTGAAAGGATTTATAATATTCAAGGAGAAGTGATAATAATGCTACTTACAACTTATATACAGTTCACTCCTCTGTCTCTTTTTAAATAGAAATACCTTCTGTTTTAATGAATTGCACTATTTGTGGCATGCTGAATTAGTGGGGGGTGGCAGAAAGTACACTAAGAAGGCCTCGGTTAGAATTATAGCCGTGCCACTTACTGATTGAGAGACGTGGGGCAAATCATCTGCTCAGTGTGTTGACTTTTATGTGTGTAAACCGCAGACATAATTGGCCATGTTTTCTTTCTTTCTCTTTTAAATCTTTATTATTGACACTCTTCTGTGCTTTCTTAGAGAGTTGTTGTAAAGACAAAATAAGACAATGCAGAGAAAAGTACTTTTTATATCACAGAGCAGTCTCCATTAAAGGGTATTATTTTCTGCTCCTAGTTGTTCTTTCACTAATTTTATTTTATTAAGTCAGTAACTTCTCAAACTTCTCTGTGCTGGGTATTTGGGTATAGGGTCACTTTTCATCCATTACCTGCTCTCAAGTGTGTAGAAACAGTTCACATATTTAGATACAAAATTACTGAAAAAATGCTTCCACAACTATTGTGGATCTTTGTTTCAAAGCCTAGACATTGGAATTCTACCTATAAACTTTCCTGATGTCCTAGGTCACATCACAGAGAGACCTGACTAAATGAGACACACAGTGGGTTTCACAATTTTGGTTCTGTTGTTCATAATTCTTCATTCCTTTGGTTATTGTGAGAAGTACTTCTTTCCTGTTTCTCAGAGTGTTGCTAAATATTTTCAGTAGAGATGAAGAAGATTGGAAGGCAGTAATCCTTACAATAGAGCAGTGTCTTCTTATAGAATTTCAACATGGTGTCCAATACTCTGTGAGTACATGGATAGAATAATAAACTTGGCAAGATATGATCAGTTATACATTTTATATACTCATAAAAACTTTACTCTTCTAAGTGTTTCAGTTTGAAACACTCTTCTCTTGCCCACATGATTTTTATCCTCTGTGTATCTGTTAGCTCATTCATCCACTTATCTACCTACCTGCTTGCCTACCTTATAGATGATGTATTGAGTGTTTTGGGCTCTGGGGGCAACACAAAGATGGATAATCTAGCGTGTGTGAGAGTAAGGAGTGTGCGCATACACTTAAATAGCTCAGGGCTGTATTATAGGATCAGATAAAAGTGCCATGTTGATTCAATATGGACAAATCTGGCCTCTCAGTATTAGAGAATTTGAATCAAGAGCAATTTTAAAGGATATTTTTAGTTATTATGCTACATAATTGGGGATAGTGAATTATGCTCACTTCTATTCAATATGATCTTAATGATGTAAAAGTGATTTAGTTAAAATCATTTAGTGAACAGTTATTATGTGCTAGGCAGTGTGCAAAATGCTTTCCATTCATTACCTCATTTCATCCTCATATTAATACATGTAATACATATTGTTATTATCTTAACTTTACAAATGAGGAAATGGAAGCTAAGGAAGGTAATGTAGCTTATCCAAGGACATACAGTTAATAGTGGTGAGGGTATATTAGCCAGAATGGTCTTTTAAAATATAAAGTAGAGTATGCCCCTCTCATGCTTATGACAGTTCTAATGGCCTGGAATAGAAAGCCTATGTCTCCTAATGGCCTAAAAGCCCTACCTGATTGCCTTACCCAATCTGCTCCTGTAACATTGTGTGCCACAGTTTAGCCCACTGGTCTTTCCATTCCCTGACCAGGCCAGGCTTCTTCCCACATTAGGAATTTTGCCCTTTCTCTGCCCCAGAACTTCCCCTGGCTAGCTCATTCTTATTCTTTAGGAATCATCCCATGCGTCCCCTCCTCTGAGACCCTTAGCCACAGGCACCCTGGCCCTCCTCCCCAGAGATTGGTCGTGATAGTCTATTTGGTTATCACTTTTTGAAATTATTCTGTTAAGTAATTTATTTTTATCTCCATCACCCTAACATAAATTGCATGAGAGCAGAGGGGTCTTCTTTGTCTTGTTCACCCACATATTTGATACCAGAACAGAACCTGGCACACAGTAGATGCTCAACAAATACTCGCTGGATGAATGGTTGAATTGGTCACTCTAGAACCTGAGTTATTAACTACTATCATATATTTTCTCTCTTTGAGAAATGATAAATGATGACTTAGATTTGCTAAGTTTCTTTCCTACTCTTGTAGATCAGTTATAAACTTTTCCAATACTCTTCTTAATGTATTTTTTCCCAAATTGAAAAAGTCATATAATTGTTTAACCTAAGCACAATAATCAATTACTTAGGAAAAAATATTCCTTAGGCAGACTTATAGGAATTTAAAGAGAGAAGTCATTTGATTAAGTTTAGATAATATATACATTTCTATTATTTGAAAAGATTTATTCTTATTCCTTAAAATCTGAATTAAAAATTTACTTGTGATAAAACAGTCCTTCATAAGAATTGGTAACTTATAAATTGGTTCATTAATTTTGCACAGAAATTTGGCAGTATCTGTAAAAATTTAGAAGGTTCCTATCAGCCATTCTACTTTTTAGGATTGTATTCCACTGAAATCCTAGCACCAGTGTGCAAAGATAGGTATGTGCAAAGTTGGACACTGAAATGTTGTTCATAATAGTGAAAACTGTATTAAATCTAAATGTGTTTCAATTGATGTAATTTAAAAAAAATATGTAGAATGAGATGCTATGTAGTCATGAAAAGAATTGGAAAATCCATGTATATTAACATGAAAATTTATCTAAGATACATTAATTGAGAAAAGCAGGTGGCAGAACACTCTGTTAAGTATGATTTTATTTTTCTAAAATAAAAACAAAAAAATCTTTAACCGTTTTTACGGTGTGTGTGTGTGTGTGTGTGTGTGTGATCATAAATGCATGGAAAAAAGTCTGGAAGATATGCAAGAAACTGCTGACAACGATACTTTCTTAGCAGTGACATTCAGGGTGGGGAGAACCTTCATTTTTTAATTGAAGGTTTTTCATTTAAAATTGAAGGTTTTTCAATTTTATTTCAACACTATTATTTGTAAAAAAAAACCCAAAAAACAAAAAAAAATGCTCAAAAAAAAATGTTACTGACTTCTTTAGCCAGAGATAGCTCTCTTGGAGTCAGAATGGAATTTAGGAGTTGGAAGGAGAAAGCATTCAGGAATAACACATATCCAATTGCTATCTTGGGGGATCCTGAGGGTTCCTTGTTAAAATGAAAACACCAGGAGTGGACCTTAAGTCAGGTAGACATGGAAGATATATACTCGTTGTGTGACCTTGGGCAAGTAATTTCACTTTCTGCTGGCCAGTTCTCTTGCCCGTTAGAAGGAGCTAATCATTCCTACCGTATCGCAATGTTGGGATGATTAAATGCCTATGACGCATGAGAAAGCCTAATTGATGTGGGAAGGAGTCTAAGGTTGAAATGGGATTTGGAGATTATCAATGTACACTACCGCAATCATTTTCATCCTCAGGTGCCAGGATTCTAAGAGTAGTTTAGAGAGGTCAAATGAATTTGCTCGAAGTGACACAGCTAAGTAGTTCGAGCCAGGGTTCACGTGTAGTTCTGACTCCTGAGC